TATTGTATTTTTTAACGTGTTTAGGCCTTTATTTACACCTAATTTCACAGTACTAGAGTGTTTATTACAGTACTAAAAGATTATTCATTTTTTGGATAATTAAAGCTACTTTCTGTGGTAAGTGTTAACAGGGCTAGATGTCAACAGATCTGCTTACTATTTAAAACAAAAAAAGCTCAAATGCAGTTCCACTAGATTATGTCATTTTCTAGTACTTCCACACAAACTGCTTTTGCTTTCCTCTCCAATATAAAAATCTTGAAAGGCTTATGTTTAACTGCTTATGTTTAACTGCTTATTATGTCATTTTCTAGTACTTCTACACAAACTGCTTTTGGTGAAAAACCCTTTTGTTGTCATCATCACTTTCAAATTAGATGCAATTTTTTCCTTCTCTTTCAATGGTGTGTGAGCACTATGGAATCTGCAGCTATTGCATCAGCTGTACTGGACGATATTGACATTATTTCACATGACGACAAAACACAAGTTATTGAATTGAGCTACATAAAGCGTGAAGAACTTAAAATTCTGCTTGACAAACCATAAATACCCTACAAATTAGTCCAAGTAAAGACATTGTACTTTATATGTAAAAGAGACGAGACAGAAAACATTTTCAATAATAAGAGAACAATAGTGATTAAAAAGCATACATTCTTAACTCTGTAACCTGGAGGATGCTATCCAGGACACTTCACTTCTTTTAGGGAAACAGCTGAAAAAATATAATCTTAAATTTTACAGTGTTCTAAAGAACATTGTATTATTTTAGATAATTTACAAGTGCTGAGCTTAGATGTAATGAATGTAAACACTGAAAACTAGGGCGATGTTATTAAGTTGATTGAAATAATACTTTAAAGACATGTACAATATGTGACTTTTTTATATATATTTATATTTATTAATTTATAAACCCGTTGGTGTGGCTAGTGTAATGTGATGTCAAAAGCATTATCTGACAAGTTATCTACAATATTAATATGGTTCCCCACAAGAGACTAATATACAAACTCAAGGCATGTGGTTTTACTGAAATCTCCTGAATCGGATAAAATTGTTTTTACATCAGCGGTTTCAACAAACCGTGATAGGCGTTTATGTATTCTTGCGGCAAGAAATATTTAGTGGCGTCCCTCAAGAATCCGTCTAATTCTTTTTATCGTTTAATTTTAATTATCGTCTAATTCTTTTTATCTATTAGTCTAATTCTTTTTATCGTCTAATTCTTTCTATCGTTTTCGTTAACAATATTTTTAACCATCTATGTAAAATGTATGCTGATGATATTTTCGTTAACAATATTTTTAACCATCTATGTAAAATGTATGCTGATGATATAAAACTGCTGGCCCATTTAGACCACCTAATAGCTTCACAAAAACTTCAAACTAATGTCTACAGCATCACTATAAGGTGTAAAACCTGGAAAATAAAACTTAATCTCAATAAATGTAAAATCATGCACATAAGTAAAATAAACACTTTTAATGTCTAATCAATGCCAGCTACTTGTATGGAACTGGCATCGACTTTAGTCGAGCGTAATTTTAGCATCAGGGTTACGCCAGACTTGGAATGGCATAGCAATGCCAATAACTTATGTATCCAATAATTGCAAACGGTTATTAGGCATGTTATTTGCAGTTTTAGTCATATGACTCCGCTATTTTATAAAGTTCTATAACAGCCTTTTTATGACCATATCTGGAATTCGTGGTAGCAGCCAGCAATTTATCAATAATAAAACCGAGAAAGTACAAAGAAGAGCTACCTATTTAATACCTTTGTCCGTCAAATTTCTTACAAAGATCATTTGATTATATTGATATTGATATTAATTTATATTGATAACAACAACAAAACTCAAAAAATCCCAAAGTACAGTTGTTATACTTATGCTGATGATTTAAAATGTATAACAGCTGACAAATCCTCATTCGATATCTTTCATATCAATATCTCATCACTCTCAAAACATTTTGATAAACATGAAAATCTACTCCAATCAACAAAACTTGAATTTGAAATAATTTGGAATTTGGAACCAGACTGCATAAGAAAATCCACAAACTAGCAACATAAAACTTAATGGGTATTCCTATAAACACTCATCACCTCACCACTCATCTGAATCACACACAGGTGGTGCATTGTTATATATTAATAACTGGCTTGCCTTTTAAACCTAGAAACGATCTCCTATCTATAAACCAAAAAAAATAGAATATATCTTCACTGAAATTATAAATCCAAAAATATCAAATGTTATTGTTGGTTGTATTTTAAAGGCATCCAAAAATGTTTTTAGACAACATCCTATCCTTCTATCTTAATTCTTTACTAAAAAACTTAAAAAAAGAAAATAAAACTGTTTTTATTATAGGGGATTTTAACATTGTTTTGTTTAGATGTGACACAGACTCATATACTAGAGACTTTTTAGACTCACTCACCTCAAATTACTTTCCGCCTCAGATTGTTCATCCTAGTTGCATCTGTAAAACATCAAAAACATTAACTGACAACTTATTTTCAAATATTAAATCTAACAAATATAATGCAGGAAATCTTACAACCACAATCTTGGATCATCTTCCCCGATTTTGGATAGCTTATAATTTTCTTAAACCACCACTTAAAAAAAGAAAGAAGAACCAAAAATAAACCCTGCTAATTGAACTCTGTGTTTTGAGAATACCATTTCCAACATTAATTTACTGCTTGTTAAACATGCGCCTTTTAAAAAGCTTAACACAGAAAATATTTCAGTCAAGACTAAACCATGGATATTAGATAAACCCAAGCACAAAAATAATCTCTTTAAGAAATATATTAGGCCTAAAAATCAAACAAATAAACCATAATTTGTAATAATTATAAAATATTTCGTAGTAACCTCCAATTTAAACTCAATGAAAGCAAAAAAAAAAAAAAAAATTGCTATTATTTTACTGAAAACATAAAAAATATAAAAACAACCTGGAAAGGTATCAAAAATATTATTAATAATAAAAGTAACTTTCAAACACCTCCAAATGTAATCATACATAAAAATAAAACAATAACAAACCCCTTTAATATTTGTAATGCTTTCAACAACTGCTTTACTAACATTGGTAAAGATGTCCAGTCAACCATTTCTTTATCCATGAATCATTTCACATATTACTTAGCAAATCTCTCTGAAAAGTATTTTATAAAAAAACCTGCTAACGAACATGTAATTTCAAAAATTATCAACTCAAAGACACAAAAAAAGCTTCTGGACCAAACGGTCGGCCAGTAAAAATTCTAAAACTATTAAAAACAGAACTTTCAATAATTTTTTCTAACATTTTTAATATCTCGTTCTCAAGTGGTATTTTGCAAGAAAACCTAAAAACTGACAAAGTTATATTTATTTTTATAACTGATTTAAAGCTATTAATGTCAAACTATATGCCAACTTTCCTCCTCTCCAATATAAAAATCTTGAAAGGCTTATGTTTAACTGCTTATATGAATTCTTCAATGAACATAAACTATATATATATATATATATATATATATATATATATATATATATATATATATATATATATATATATATATATATATATATATATATATATATATATATATATATATATATATATATATATATACATATATATATATATATATATATATATATATATATATATATATATATATATATATATATATATATATATATATATATATATATATATATATATATATATATATATATATATATATATATATATATATATATATATATATATATATATATATATATATATATAAATAAATAAATAAATATATATATATATATATATATATATATATATATATATATATATATATATATATATATATATATATATATATATATATATATATATATATAAACTTCAGTGTCGATTAGCTCTTTTTTAAATTTTACACAGAAATACTTGAAGGAAGTCGGCAAAGTTCTTTTCAATAGGTTAAAAATTCATATTTAAGATGTTAAGCATATATGCTTAACATCTTTTGCAGCAAATGTTAAAAAAATATAAATGAAGACTGTGACAACGATTTTTGAACATTATTTTTTAATTACACAATTTATACTTTAATTTTACTTTAATTTATATTTTAATTATACAATTTATACAAATACAAAATTTATACACATACAAAATTTATACACTTACACAATTTATACACATACACAATATATACACATACACAATTTATACACATATACAATTTATACACAGTATACACAATTTTTTAAAACATTTATAGAACGTTCATAAAACGTGCTCCACGTCTATCAAACGTGCTGTAATGTTTTGTATTTGCTGGGCCAAAGTATTTACATAAACTTAAAAGCACAACAAAAATTATTCTTACTATGACAAAATGAAGCGCAAAAAATAACAACAACATCATTAGCAGTAAAACTGATTTTGTAATGTTATCAGTAAAAGTTTATATTCTTAACACAGTTGGGAATAGTTTCATAGAATTGTATAACTCAGTAAGGCACTTAAATTATTTTTTATCATAACAGCCTTATTTTTCAAGGTTTCTGTTTCAATGATTAAAAAAAAGAAGCAATGCTAAAAAAATAAAATAAAAATATAATATAAATCTTGTTTTTAGTTTTTGATATTAAGAAGTTAGAATTCTTAAAATTGGTTAAATTTCATATTCACACACAATATCAGTATTTTTTAATTGTAAATTTGTTAAAGAGAAAAAAAAAAAAAGATTAAAAGTTTGTTAATACTTTAAATATAAGATTACTACCAAAAAAGTTTGTTATGAATAAGAATTTGTTTGAAGTTTAACTTTTCGCAACTATATTGGACTTTATCAATAACAGATTTGAATTTAACAGGATTTTTTAACAAATTAGGGTGATGATGATGATGATGATGATGATGATGATGATGATGATGACAACGATGATGACGATTATTATGATAATGATTTATATTTAGAAATATCTGAGATATGTACAGCACTAAAAAATTACTATCAGAAAAATTATAAGAATATAGACGAAGTTCGACCACTATTAAAAGAACCCGCAAATGTTGATCTAATAAATAAATTTGTCGATTTATGTATAGTTGATGCATGTAGCACTCAAATGGATGTTGTTTGTAGTGTTGAACGAAATAAGTTTCTTGAAAAGCAAATGAGTTATACACCCATTCCATATAGTGAAATATTTATGGAAGAAAAATCAGTAATATTAATATCTGGAATAGCTGGTATTGGCAAAACATGGTTGCTTAGAAAATGTTTGCTTGATTGGTCAAATAACTTAATTTGGAAAAATGTTAAACTTGTCTTTTATTTGGAATGCAGGATGCTTAATGAATATCAAAACATTTCGAATATTAATGAATTACTAAATATTTTTTACAAAGATATTATGAATGGTTTTAAAATTAGTAAGAACACTGCTCTATTTGTAATTGATGGATTAGACGAATTTATTTATTTAAATAAGTTAATAAAACCAAATTCCAGTTTTAAATATCCAATTGTTAATGCTTTAGCAGAAATTCAAAATTACAAAAATGTAGTTGCTGGTAGACTTTATGCAATTGACAAATACCAAAGTATAACTATAGAGCATAGAAATAAGTTAACCATTCAAATAATGGGTTTTAACAAAAATGGAATAAATAATTACGTTGAAAATAATGTTACAGAAGAAAAAAAAGAAGTTGTAAAAACAATTTTAAATGATTCTCCGATTGCAAAAGTCATGGCATCTGTTCCTTTTTATTTATCGTCCATGTGTAAAATTATTAGCGATTCAAACATAATATATAAGAATTCCTTCTTAACGATGACTGATTTGTATGCAAATATTTTTTTATACTTTTTGCAAAAACACATTATCAAAAACAATGGATTGGTTTATCAAATAATGGAAAATGAAAATAATCAGAAATATGTTTTAAACATTTGTAGGATAGCTTTTGAGTTGTTTACTGAAAATAAATTTATTTTTTCAAGAAAGGAAGTTTTACTTTTTATCAAAAACTTTGACGAAGTTGAAGAAAGTCTTTTTGGTTTTATTGAAAGGGTTGAAACACAAATTGGTTACCATTACCAATTCGCACATTTGTCAATAATGGAGTTTTGTGCTTCTATATATGCGTTTAATTGTTTAGACAGTAAAGAAATTATTTCTAATCTCAAACTAAAGAGTTGTTTATCAATGATTTGTGGATTAACTAGTAAAAACCAAAATAGTTTATTAAAATTTCTTGTTAACCTGAATCCTTCAAAGCAATCTTATGATGAATCTTTACTTTTGCTTATTTTTTCGGGTAAGTTTTGAATTTTTGTTGTATTTTTATAATTATTTTCAGATAATTTGGCAATATGCATGTTTTCGAAAGAGTATAAATAAATACAAAATTTATTAAAATCTAGAATTGTCATAGCACTTTTTTTTAGAAAAAGTTTTTTATGTAGTTCTAGATTTTTTTAAATTAAAAAATGTTATTATTTTATTTAAAGTGAAAATTTATTGATACTAAAGTATATTAACCTTCTTTAAATTATTTGTTTTTAAGTTTATTTATAATATCCTTTTATACATATTCAATTTTTTTTTAAATTTGTTATGTTTATCAATGTTTATCAACATTTTTAAAGAAATTTTAAAATTGAAGTATAAAGACTAAATAATTTGATAAGAAGCTACTTCATTTATATGCAGCCATTGCATTATTTATATATGCTGTAGGTGGCGGTGCTATTTTTCTTGTATTTTAATTTTTTACTTTTTCAAATTTTTTAATGTTTTTTTTATGAATAAAAATGAGCAATTGCTTTTACTCAATAATGGGTAAGCTTTATGTGAATAAAAACTTTAGCTGTTCTGCTCAAATTTGTATTCACGTAAAGTTAAGCAATTTACTAATTCAAAGTAAAAGCAGTTGCTAATTTTTATTAACTAGCCGATTGTCCTAGCAGGCACGGGTACGTTCATTATACGTACAAAAGACGTCGGAACAACAATATTAAGTCAGATTTTGTTCAGATTTACAAATACTGAGTTACGTCAAAAGGTAAACGTTTAATTAACGTCCAAATTTAAATATTTAATGTGCGTCTTATTTTGATATCAGCTATTAAATTGGAAATTGAAGAGCTTAATGCTAAAAGTATTTAAGTCAAAAAAAAAAGTTTTAATAAAATCTAGTTTGATTAGCCATTTTGAAAACATGTTTTAGGATGTTTTATCATTGATGTAACTAGATTATCTAAAACGTTTTATTCGTGATTTAAGTACTTTAAGCACTGAACTCTTCAATTTGACTTTAAATTTGAAAGTACAACCTAGACATAAAAAAACCGAATTATGAGCCTATTTTGAATTAAAGTTTATTCATATGTGTTATTCATACTTGATAGAACATTTTTTTTCCTTTTGCATCCAGGCTTTTATATGCCCACCACCATATCTTGAGAGCACGTTTTAGAACAAGCATTTATTAACTCTACACAAGTATATATATATATATATATATATATATATATATATATATATATATATATATATATATATATATATATATATATATATATATTTTTATATATATACACTTTATGAAATTAAGTGAATAAAAACAACTAAATAGTGGGACTTAAAGTTTCATACCCGTAGGCAATTATCAGCCGTAGACTGTTATTTTTAAAGATATTTTTTATATGTTTTTTAATAAAAGAAATTTCTTCATTTGAAAGAGACCTTATTAAACTAACACAAATAAAAGAAATTTCTTCATTTGAAAGAGACCTTATTAAACTATTTAAAACAATAAAGTATCATGATGTAAGTAACACTTTTTCAAACAATATGAAAAAAGATATTAAAGCTTTACTTTTATCAGACAAAACCCTAACACAAGCTGACAAAACATCCAATATGTTCAACTATCAATAGAGCAATATAACAAACTTTTAACAAATGCTATCACCACCACATACAAAAAGGCTAACCCAAACTTAAAAGATCAAATCATTAAAGAAGGAAAAAATATTTTAACCAAACACGAGGTACACTGAAAAATTGAAGTAAGCGGATCGTCCGACTGTTTCTTCACTTTAAAAGATCACAAAAAAAACTTTGATAACAACCCATCTGTACATCTTTCGAACCCTTCAAAAAATAAAGTAGGAAGAATTAATAAGATAATATTATCTAAAATTGATTGTGAACTTAAAAGTAAGCTTTATTTAAATCAATGGCAAAGTAAAAAAAATGTAATCAATTGGTTTAAAAAAATCCGCAGTAAGCATTTATACAAGTTTCTAGTTTTTGATGTAAACGATTTTTATCCATCAATAAATCAAAACACTTTAAAAAATGCTTTGATTTTTGCTGAAAACTTTGTTATTATAAAAAGTGAAGATAAAGCATTAATAAAACATGCAAGAAAATCCCTAATTTTCAATAACGAGACGGCATGGATCAAAAAAAGAGGAGTATTGTTCGATTTCACAATGGGGGCATTTGATGGTGCTATAGTGTGCGAGCTATTGGGAATTTTTATACTATTTCAAATTTCACAGCATTATAATAAGGAAGATTTTCGGATTATATCGTGATGACGGCCTTGCTGTACTTGAAAACAAAAACAGTCAACAGATTGACAAAATTAATAAACATGTAACAAATATCTTTAAAAGTAACGATCTACTCATCATCATTCATAGCAATAATACAATTGTAAACTATCTTGATGTTACGTTGAATCTAGATAACAACTCATTCCAACCTTACTGCAAACCTGACAACCAACTAAGGTATATCCACACTAACTCTAACCCCCTTCCGAGCATAATTAAAGCAATCTCTCGCAATATTTAAAAAAGATTATCTTTCATGTCATTAAACAAAACTACTTTCATAAATGCTACTCCACAATATGAAGAAGCTCTAAAAAAATCAGGACATAGCTCAAAGCTTATCTACCAACCACAACAAATCCAAGCCCAAAAAAAAAATCGCAAACGAAATATAGTTTGGTACAATCCTCCCTACAGTGTAAATGTACAAACAAAAATAGGTAACCATTTTCTGGCTCTTATAGATTTTCATTTTCCGCCAGGCCACAAGCTTCACAAAACATTTAATCGAAATTCTATCAAGTTTAGTTACAGCTGCATGCCTAACTTAAAATCAATAATCAATTCACACAATCATAAAATATTGCACAACAATAAGCGAATAGAAACCAAGCAATGTAACTGTGTAAATAAATCAATTTGTCCATTAAACAAACAGTGTTTGTCAAACAATATTGCTTACCGAGCTACAATTAATAATGAAGGTAACAAAAATGTATATTTTGGTATTAGTCACACATCATTTATGTTAAGATACGCTAATCATCTAAAATCCTTTGCTTCAGGTTAATACAGGAACGACACTGAACTTTTAAAGGAAGTATGGAGCTTGAAAGAGCAAAACATAAAACCTATCATAACGTGGAGAATAATTAAACGCTACAGTCCCTACAATCTTAAAACAAAAATATGCCACCTCTGTCCTTACTGTCCCTATTAAAAATATGTAATTTTATCACATAGTGGAACAAATTTACTAAACAAAAAGAATGAAATTGTATCTCAGTGTCGACATTCTAAGAAATTCTTGCTCTCTTTATTTGACACAAAAGACTAGTAAACTCTAACGGCTTCTTGTTTTGTTTTTACTCAGACTTGTTTATCACGTCTGAATCCGTTTTACGGTATTTAATTTTAATTTCAAGTTTTTTAAAAAACGGTTTTTTGACATTTTTTGTTTGTAATATCGGCTGATGATTGCCTTTGGGCATAAAACTTTAAGTCCCACTCTTTAGTTGTTTTTTATCATTTAATTACATAAAGTAAAAATTGCTCTATTATTTGATAATATTGAGCACTGTGATACGATCAAGAGTTTTTGTATTTTACACTACATAATATATATATATATATATATATATATATATATCGAAGGTAAAAAAATTACGTCAAGAAAATTAAAACTGTTTAGATCAGTTTGAATCTTGATTTGAAATCCGATCTTTTTAAATACCTGTCTGTGCGGTTGTTTTTTTGCGCATCACCATCAGTTATCATTTACAACAAATATCATTTACTAATGTATAACATCCTCTATTGTTTTATTTAAAGCAAGAACAGAATAAATTTGCTAATAGGCGTAAATTTTTTATATTATATAAAAGGTTGATCTCTGATCTCTAAAATTAATCAACGCTATGCATCAAACCACAAGTAACTTTAAACTTTAGTCTAATAGAAAGTTGCTGATAACTATCTTGAGTCATTCGACGGTAGATTCTTTACCATTACTTTTTTCATTACAGTTTTCACAGAAAAATTATTTTTTAAATTATATGATTTATTACTACATCACAAAATATAAATATGCACCTTGTAATTCATCTATTAACTTGATAACCAAAAACAGAGGCTAAATAATAGTAGTCCAAACTCCATCATGGTATTTTCTATATGTGCTCTTTTGTTTTTATTACAAAAACTAAAAAGAAGTAAATTATTGGGAACAAACCAAAAAATCTTTTTAACAGAAGTAGTTGCAATGTCATATATAAAAAATGAAAAATGGTTTCAGCCAAAAAGAAAATAATAATTATAATAACAGTATTACCTTAATTTTTATATTTGCGAGGAAGAAATACTTCTATGCTAATACTACGCATAGCAGATGGTAAAAAATTTATTATTGTTTCTAAAAATCTGTATTTAAAAAATAGATATCTGTCCTCGAGTTCTACACAATCAACCATCTCTGAATTTGGAAAAAAAAAGTTTATAAATACTTCAATATTATAAGTTTAAAATTTAAACCAAAACCCATTATCGTTTAGACAGCCATCATTCGCAAGTTTGTTCTAAATGAAAATCACAAGCAAACTTTACTACACAAATTAAGAAACAGTATTTAAACTATCTAAGCGATTATGGCTTAAAATCAAAATAATAATAAATATAATGTTGTTATTTAGTACCTCTTAATAACAGTAATTAAATGTTTTACTCTGAAAAAATAAAATTATTTATTTCAATATTTGAATAGTAAGTAAAAAATAATTTGGTTGAAATAAAGAATTCCATTCTTTGATACGCATAACTATGTCATTATTGCTTCTGCAATAGCTTCTCTGGTTTTATATTCGTAAACTTTAAAAGCCACAATACGGTAATTAATGTTATCTTTAATAAAAGGAGCAAAAGAGAAAGCGCATATCTTGTTGTTTAGTAGAAGCATTGAGAAAACCTAAGCTCA